TTTGTTAGGGGACACCCCTCTTCCTCAACAAAGGAGTAAATTAGTTTATCAGTATATCTTTTAAATTTATTTACATTTAGAAAGTGTTAACATCTTGAACCGAACAAGTTAATAACAGTGAAGCATAGTGGTCATGTGGATAAGCATCGCTTCACAATGCAAATGTACTCGGTTCGACTCCCGGCTTTGCCTTCTTTTCGTTTTTTTTTAATCATTTTTTTCTGCATATTAATTTGTCGTTTCTTTTTTGTTGTTAAGGGACACCCCCTACTCCTCAACAAAGGAGTAAAAGTAGTTTATCAGCATATTTTTTAAAGTCATTAACACCAGAAAGTGTTAACATCTTGAACCGAACAAGTTCATAACAGTGAAGCATAGTGGTCATGTGGATAAGACATCGCTTCACAATGCAAATGTACTCGGTTCGATTCCCGGCTACTCCTCTTTACTCGGATTTTTTTTTCATCTTTTTTTTTTTGTTTAGGGGACACCCCCTCTTCCTCAACAAAGGAGTAAAATTAGTTTATAAGTATATCTTTTAAATTATTTACATTTAGAAAGTGTTAACATCTTGAACCGAACAAGTTAATAACAGTGAAGCACAGTGGTCATGTGGATAAGCCATCGCTTCACAATGCAGATGTACTCGGTTCGACTCCCGGCTTTGCCTTTCTTTTCGTTTTTTTTTTAATCATTTTTTTCTGGCATATAATTTGTCGTTCTCTTTTTTGTTGTTAAAGGGACACCCCCTACTCCTCAACAAAGGAGTAAAAGTAGTTTATCAGCATATTTTTTAAAGTCATTAACACCAGAAAGTGTTAACATCTTGAACCGAACAAGTTCATAACAGTGAAGCATAGTGGTCATGTGGATAAGACATCGCTTCACAATGCAAATGTACTCGGTTCGATTCCCGGCTACTCCTTTCTACCTCCGTTTTTTTTTTCATCTTTTTTTTTGTTTGGGGACACCCCCTCTTCCTCAACAAAGGAGTAAAATTAGTTTATAAGTATATCTTTTAAATTTATTTACATTTAGAAAGTGTTAACATCTTGAACCGAACAAGTTAATAACAGAGAAGCATAGTGGTCATGTGGATAAGACATCGCTTCACAATGCAAATGTACTCGGTTCGATTCCGGCTACTCATTTCTACCTCGGGTTTTTTTTTTTTCATCTTTTTTTTTGTTTAGGACACCCCCTCTTCCTCAACAAAGGAGTAAAGTTAGTTTATCAGTATATCTTTTAAATTTATTTACATTTAGAAAGTGTTAACATCTTGAACCGAACAAGTTAATAACAGAGAAGCATAGTGGTCATGTGGATAAGACATCGCTTCACAATGCAAATGTACTCGGTTCGATTCCCGGCTACTCCTTTCTACCTCGGTTTTTTTTTTTTTTCATCTTTTTTTTTGTTTAGGGGACACCCCCTCTTCCTCAACAAAGGAGTAAAGTTAGTTTCAGTATATCTTTTTAAATTTATTTACATTTAGAAAGTGTTAACATCTTGAACCGAACAAGTTAATAACAGGAAGCATAGTGGTCATGTGGATAAGCCATCGCTTCACAATGCAGATGTACTCGGTTCGACTCCCGGCTTTGCCTTTCTTTTCGTTTTTTTTTAATCATTTTTTTCTGCATATTAATTTGTCGTTCTCTTTTTTGTTGTTAAGGGGACACCCCCTACTCCTCAACAAAGGAGTAAAAGTAGTTTATCAGCATATTTTTAAAGTCATTAACACCAGAAAGTGTTAACATCTTGAACCGAACAAGTTCATAACAGTGAAGCATAGTGGTCATGTGGATAAGACATCGCTTCACAATGCAAATGTACTCGGTTCGATTCCCGGCTGCTACTTTGCGTTTTTTACACTGGCCTGGACATTTTCCCGGTAAATAGCAATGAAACTGCTTGTTTGAGTCTATTCTACGCCTCCTCGATCGGGCGCGCCAGTTCCAAATCGAATCGTACATGCACAGACGACGCGATGCAGCATTTATACCAAAACCGTACGCAGCACTGCAATACTGAAGATTAAGGGGGAAGAATATAGGATTTCAAGTTCAGAACACAAGTTAAGAAGCTTGCTGCACGATGGAATTCATCGAGGATTTTGACGGAGTGGGCAATGCAGACGCCTTATATTATAAAAAATGGTGAATAATCACAATATCTCTGTGGAAGTATCTAAATAATAATATAAGTATTGGATGACAATTTTTTCGCAATACGTGAATATTGTTACTCGCTGAAGAACAAATATTTTCACGTATCATCCATTAATGTGTATTCAGTTCGTTATCTCCAAGTAAAGTGCGGTGCACGCCTCTGCGCCCATGAATCCGCCTATGTTCAGATCTCTTTTTATCTACATGTGCATGTATTTTCAAATAAAATTTCTTATAGTCATTTCTTGCATCTAAATCTTAAACACTGTCAATTATCTGTTCAAATTCTCTACTATTGTTTGCTTTCACTTTACTACATATTTCTTCTTTATATAACTATTTATGCATACACATACTCCTGTATCTTTTGTATTACTTCTCTGACATTGAAGGATTAGATTACCTTCACGAAAAAAAAAAGTATATGAATGTAAAGCAGTAAATAAAGTGCAAATGAATTCATGTAAAACTGGTGTATAATTTCCTTTATATGTTATTTGTCTGTACATTACACTAGACAAAGTGATGAATGGAAAAGAGAGAAGAGAGGTCTTATAAACAATATCATGAATTTAAAATGAGAAAGAAGAAAGGGAGAGAGAGACAGAGGTCTTAGAAACAATATGAATTCAAGAAGTGAGAAAGAGAGGGGGTCTTAGAAACAAATATCATGAATTGAGAGCTAGAGAGAGAGAGGTCTTAGAAACAAATTCAAGAAATGAGAAAGAGAGGTGGGGGGGTCTTAGAAACAAATATGAAGAGAGAGAGAGAGGCCTTAGAAACAATATGAAGAGGGGGTTAATGAGAGAGAAAGAAGAGGGGTCTGAGAATACATACGAGAGAGAGAGTGGTCGAGAGAGAGAGGTCTTAGAACAATATGAATAGAGATGGGGGGGGGCGGGGAGAAATGGGTCTTAGAAAACAAATATGAAAGAGATGAGGGGGGGGGGAGGTCTTAGAAAACAAATTGAAGGAGAGGGGTCAAGAGAATTAGAGAAATTAGGTCTTAGAAACAAATGACATGAATTTAAAAAATGAAAGACGTGATCCCACAATAATAGAAAATGGTACGAGTGCAATATTTAAATCACAGTTTTATGTATTACATTACCATTACACATATAATGTCGAGTGTAGTCTGTGTATGTGTCGATATGTGTACACGTGTGTTAGGGGGGGGGGTCCGAATCAGCAAATGGTTTGAAAGTAGGCTACACGTCAAAAATTGAAACCCTGAAGAAGGCGGAATTAAACCACAAAAACCATAATATTATTTGGTTTCTCTCTTTCCTTACTTTGATTAATTCCTTCTCTAATTTCTCTCTTTCTTTCAAGTGTAGTTTTTGTTTTCCTCTCTCTGCTTTGACATTCTTTGTTTTCCTCTCTGTTCTTTAATTATTTATTGTTTTTCTCTTATTTCCTTCTGTTTGTTATTCGTTGTTTTTCTCTCACTCGTACGTCTCGATACAAAAGTACATGTAGTTTATCCGCGACACTTTTAGAAGAGCTACGTGCGCGCGCAATTCTTGTCATGGATAGACTTTTCCAGTCAGTTCCTTGAAATTTATTGGAAA